TAGTGACATTCACAATAGCCTCATCCAAGGAGAGGCTTTTCATGTTTTCCAGAGGAACTGATGAACTTTCCATCATCTCAAAACTATTGCGACTAGTGAAAGGCAGACATTCTAGTTTGGGGCAGTGATTCCACTCCCTTGATAGATGAATAGAAAGGTTAGTTTATCACTTCCACTAACGGCGAGAAGGAAATGTATGGCCAGTTCAGAGACCGTGTCCTGGGCATCATTCTCCTACATGTGATGACAGTAACACTTTGCTCCCCATGGTGTCCTATTTCAGTGCAAGGAGCTTTTGAAAACAGTGACAGACATGCCATAATCTATACGTAGTGATAACTTATTGGTTAGTATTTTATTTTTAGTAAAACAGTTCACTGTTTCCCCCTATTCACATCTATTACTGTTATAAACATTATGAAGAGTCATAAGTTATTGCAGCAGCAAATAATCTAATGATTTTTAAAGAAGAGCTCTGTAAATTTTACCTTCTTTACCATTAGTGAAACAGAAGGCTTCTCTCATGTTAATATATTTGTCCTAGAGAAATAGCTTTGGTTTGGTATAAAAGGATGAGTCGTGGAGTCAGAAGACCTGGGGAAAACCCTGCAGCTTGCTTGTATTTTTAACCTCTTTATTCCAGAACTGTCACAGCTAAATGAGTTAACTAATGTTTGTAGACACGCTTAGTACAATTAGAGTTATCACATATCAGTAGATGTAATTCTTATAACTCACTATAAAAGTGTTAGAAAGGGAGAATATTTATGGAATATTATCAGGAAAATTTTTTTTAGGAAATTTACTCTGTCCAAATATATACAGAGCTAAGGCTCTTACTGTGAGGGGAGCTGTATAGTTTAGATATCAGATGTAATTTTTAAGTGTAGTCAGATTTATTAATCTTTTATTTTAAGTCTTGTGGGTTTGTTGTAATTCAGAGAAAGGCTTTTCTAATTCTGAGCTTCTTAAAAAATCTCTTGTGGTTTCTTTTTTACTTTCATGGATTCATTGTCTTCAGTTAAATTTTTCAACTTTGGCGGGTTTCTGCTTGTATAGTTTGAGACGTGTATCCAACTTTGGTTTTTCCAGTTGGATGTCTGCTTATTGCAAGCTTTTCAATATATAGACATAGAGATTAGTCTTTCATTCCAGAGAAAATTGTGATGTGTCACTTTATTAAGTACTAGCTAAAAGTCTCCTTTGTTTTACTTAGGTTTCTCACAGTCATGACAAATTGATAAAAACCAATTGTTGCAAGAATAAATTGCCATGCTGAAATGAGAAAGAAAAAAAATCAGAACTGAGAAAAGGAAAATAACTGTTTTGCGGACATGGAAATTATGAAGGAAAAGAATAATGATCTTCAGAAGGCAATAAAATGGAATGAGGAAACATTTATGAAAACAATATTCCAATATAGTGGACAGCTTAGTGGTCTGACAGCTGAGAACTCAATGCTAAACACTAAACTGGAGAAGGAAAAGCAAAGCAAAGACAGACTGGAAACAGAAGTTGAATCATACCATTCTAGACTGACTACTGCCACCTACGGTCATGATCAAAGTTAGCAGAGAGCCCTGGAAATTGCCTTCCAGAGAGCAAGGGATGATTGCTTTCACTTACAGGACAAAATGTTTTTTTTTTTTTTGGCCAACTTGCTTTATTTAGTAGAATTTTACATTATGTAAAACATAAATAAAAGCATATTAAAAATATTATAGTTCTATTTTCATTATTTAATTTCATTTATGTACACTATAATAATAGAGTTAGGAATTTGTATGTTTACATATCACTAATAAGCTCGTTTAATCCTTTAATTTGCTATTTTTGCAATCACCTAATATATGTCTAGATCGCATAATTTAAGATTACATAGTAACTTTCAGTAGAGTACTGTTTTTTTAATCTCCATACTTTTGGAAGTATTTGGCAGTTCTTTCAGCAAATTATACTACTTATTATACAATTAGTAATTGTTTAAACATAAAGAAAACTGTAATAATTTCAAAACCTACTAAAGCCTCCATATGCTTCTTTTTGCACATAGAATGCTAAAATAAAACTTATGACTGAGTACCATAAAACCAAAACAGAGCCCTTAAGTCACATAAGAATCAAGTAAAATTTCTTTTCTACCAATGGATAACAAAGGCAATCAAATTTTGGTTTTGATTGGTTTTATTTTATACTAGGTTTTTATTTTATGTCACCAAACTCTAATTCAGATATAATGTTACTTCATACTTTAAGATCTAATCTGAAAGATAATGTAGTGCTTTCTCAGCAACTTTCTAAAGCTGAAAGTCAATTCAAAAGCCTAGAAATTGAGCTCCATCACACTAGAGATGCTCTCAGAGAAAAGATTGTGGTGCTAGAAAGTGTACAGAGAGGCCTGAGTCAAGCATTAGTGTCCAAAGAAGGAAACTGAATACTTATATCAAAGCGAACAAGGGAAAGTG